ATGAGATTGACATTGTCATCCTTGCCAACGGGTTCAAGACCCAAGACCTCTTAACACCAATGAGAGTCCAGGGCATCGGTGGGAAAGATCTCCGAGAGACGTGGAATACTAAGGGCGGCTCAGAAGCATATATGGGGTAAGTCTATCCCTACCTACATGTATCTAATTGTAGACCCCATTGGCTAACTTGTCCATACAGTGTGTCGGTGAACGGGTTTCCCAACTTCTTCATGTTGGCTGGGCCGAACACTCTGCCTTCTAATAATTCAACCTTGCACGCGATCGAGTGTTCTATCGTATGTATTACGCGGCTCCTAAAGGGTGTGTGGGCTCGATCCAAGAGAGGTGGTCGTAATCGACTAACCCTGATGCCAACGCCTGAGGCAGAGGCAGAATTTAATGCTATGATCCAGCGAAAAATGAAGGATCTGGTATATACAAGCCAAGTTAACACCTGGTACATCAACAAGGATACGGGGAAGAATACGCTCATATGGCCAGGTACTCAGTTCTCGTTCTGGCGTAGTCGGTGCATATCGCCTATCAGGTGGTCCGATTGGATCGTTCAGGGTGTCTAGGCAGTACTTATCAGAAATGAGTAAAACATGGTAATTCACAAGGCTAGTAAGCGGTTACGGGCTAAGATTTATGAATTCACAGAACTGCACCGGTAGTTTGGCCTTGATTGAAGTGCCAAGACCTTATAGCATCTTGACTCTCATGTAGTACGCGGATATGATTATTTAGAGGACATGCCACTCAATCAGTTATTATCAATGAGGTCATAACTGAGGTTATAACTAAATAACGCGACTACATAGATACATGTATGTATGTATACTGTATAATTCTGCACCCGTCCGAACAGCCCGAGGTGCTTGAATAGTATTAAAAGAATTCTTAGCTTTGGACGACACGTAGAGTAGATCAATAACTAGACACATCTATTGACGTTGTTATTATTATAAGTTAATGGGAGTTTGGGCTTCTTAGGAGGCCTGGGGTTGCGAAAGACCTCTGTCCAGTGTTCACGGGTGCCTGCGGTACATAAGCAATACACGCTTCTTCGTGGTCGAGGTATCCATGGCTGGTATCCAGTACATACATGTACTTGTAGAGCTAAATCCTATGGTTCCGGCAAGTGGAAACCCGCAGCTTCGAGGTATAGACGTGGGTCTACGATTCCACATGACAATGGAAACATCGCTATGCTTTGGTTCAGTATGTTACATAGTACTATAACGTAACAGAGCATGTCCCCGGAATGGCTCTTGGCGTCGGAACCCATTCATCTTCCCATCCAGTTAGAATTCGTCTGTCTGTCACCGATCGCCCCTTCTCGCCAGATTCTGTCGACTTAGTATTACGTTCTACTAAAAAAGCCTCGCGAAGTGACGGAAGATCAACTTTATTGAGATGTATAAGCTGCCTTGCCAGAGTCATGGCGCGTATTTCTATTTTAAAGCGAGAGCAAATCTGGACGCTGAATACTGGAGGTTTCATCTGTTCGTTGTTCGCCACACAGGTTACATGTAGACTTTAGAGAATCCTTCATTATAACTTACATTACCAATGCCGATAATGTCTTCATCGCATGAAACATATCTGGTAGATGTGGAAGAAGCAGGGAATCCGCCACCTGATGGTGGTTATGGCTGGATATGCGTTGTGGCCCAGTTCCTGATCAACGGCTTCACTTGGGGGGTAGCGGCGGTATATTCTTCGCATACGGAAAAATAGCTATTTAAAGCTGACTTTCATTAGAGTTATAGTGTTTACTTGGCGTACTACCTTTCTCACGACCTATTTTCCGAGGGAAGGCCCCTCGACTTTGCCCTCATCGGCGGGTTCAACTTTGCCTTCGCATTACTGGTAGCGCCGCTGGCCACCTTGATTGCTCGGCGATACGGGGTCCGAGCCCCAATGGTCCTGGGAGTTCTTATATTTCCCGCTGCGCTTATAGGAGCATCCTTTGCTACTAAAGTCTGGCATCTCTATCTCTCGCAAGGAATATCTATCGGTATTGCTATTGGACTCATTTACATACCATCTACGGCCGTTATACCGCAGTGGTTCTTGAAGAAGCGAAGCTTTGCTAACGGCATATGTGCCGCCGGGTCGGGGATTGGCGGTCTCGCAATTTGCTTTGCTACGCAGGGTATGCTTGTAAGTCTAGGACTGCCTTGGACTTTGAGAATCATGGCAGCCGTCGTGTTTTTGATGAATTCCGTCGCAACCCTCTTAGCCAGATCACGAAACGAAGTAGTTAAGCCAGATGAGCGACTGTTCAACTTTCGCCTCCTCCGCTCTTATCACGCCCTCCTGCTTTTAGGATGGAGCTTCGTTATGATGTTCGGTTACATAACTCTGATGTTTTCTTTATCGGATTATGCCTTGGCTATCGGACGATCGGAGCAGGACTCTACAACAGTTGTCGCGCTGCTTAATTTAGGTGCGGCGGTCGGTCGTCCTGCGATCGGATATCTCAGCGACCGATATGGCCGTGTGGAAGTCGCTGGACTACTGACAGCTACTTGTGGTGTCTTAGTCTTCGTTCTTTGGCTACCTACTTCGGTTTATGGCATACTCCTAGCGTTTGCTCTCGTCGATGGAGCAATACTTGGCATATTTTGGGCTGTGCGTTTTTCTCATGCGATAAATCTCACTGTCGATACTGACTTCTTGGAATGTATATGTAGGTCATTGGGCCATTATCAGCCGACGTCGTTGGGCTTAGGGAGCTGCCGGCTTTCTTATCAATAGTGTGGCTTTTGGTTGCCTTACCGAGTGCAGGTAATCGAAACTCGCGTCGCTTACCGAACGGCTAGACCTAATGCTTTTATACAGTAGCCGAAGCAATAGCATTAGAGTTAAGACACCCAGAACTGGGCAGAAGGGGTTACCTTTACAGTCAGGTTTTGGCTGGATTATCGTATATGGTCTCGAGTTTATTTCTCCTTGAATTATGGCGGTCCAAAAGAGCACAGAAGCAATCAAATGCGGTCTAGATCAATAATAAATACAACCTACGCCATTACTACTTGGCAACTAATTTGACAATCATTTACCTGGAGCTACCTTGGGCTATGGCGTTAAAAGACAATCTCTAACGGGGATTCGCGCATCACTCATTAAGCTGGCTTCGAAGTGTTTAGTAAAGAGTGATGCTACTTACGGATTATTCATTTCCTTATTTGTAGATTACTCCACAGGTTTATTTTGGAAGCCACCTTAATTGCACCTGGCGACGGCTAGCCCGATTTGCGCAACCTTTGGACGTCGTCCAATACTACTTCCAAGTGCTGGTGGCGTTGGCGATATAAAGCTCTTTATAATGTATAATATTAAGTTATAGCCAAGTCAAAGCTGCTATTAGCAATGAAGACAAGTAACCCGTAAAGTTGTGAATAGCAACACTCTTGGTAAATTAGTGGATTGTAATAAATAGCAAGCTAAAGATGAAGTGCCTGCGTCTGAATTGGATCATAATAGGTGTAAATCCAAAGTAACTTTGTTATGACGTAGCATTTAATCTCTACAGTTGCTGGAACGTTGAGAATTGCGTTCCCGTTCAGTTCACATCTTACTAGTTCCTAGCCCAGGACGAGTCCTACCAGGACGTTTATCTAGAGTGAGAACACAGGCGGACCCATAATAGTAGGGCCAATACTATGACAGCACTTGCCTACGATATGACAAGTAGGTGTACCTACATGTCATGTTGTGATACTGATCTAACATTGTATAAGTCGCTCCAGTACCATCTTTTGGCTAACAAGGCACGCGGGTTGGGTGGAAAGGAAGAGGTTTGTGGCAGAAATGCCTAAAAAAGAAATTATTGTTATATAATGACATTCATCACAACGTAGCCGAACCTGATGATGCTCCCCCGGACAGGCTTGATGTGTCAACCTCCTGATATGCCAGATCATGATCATAGGACCGAAATCGTAACAGCTAAACAGGCTAGCCAATTGCGCCACGGAGGAAGCGGATTAGCTTCTGGCAAGCTGTGGCTTGTCCCAGATGGTTGGGAAAAGGGTTGGTACGGTTGTGTTTATTTGTCCATGAAAGACCATCGGCGGTTTAGGAGTGGTGAGACAAACCATGGAATTAGTGTCGGTGGAATTTTTTTACCTATAATACTATAGATGTGTTATAGTCCCGAGTCCGCTTGGTAAAGCAGAGGTTAGAATGCTAGTTGATTATAATATTAAGAGTACCTTTAAGATATTGAGTTGGGGCAGGGCGTACTGGGGGTATCACGTGACATGACACTTTGTATATAGCTTCTCGCAGCGTGGCCGTAGGCCACGCCAGCGCACTCGTTTTTTTATTACCACCACTTATTGTATCAATTCGATTCGTAACTCATGATCAGACCTATAACGTACGAGGGGCGGAGCGTAGAGCTTATTTGAGGCCATAGGCCTCAAATAAGGGCCTCTATCCTAACCCCCAGAGCACACTGCTCTGGCTCAGTATGTTGCCTTATGATTTGCATACTTAGTACACCACAATGAGTTAAGAAAGTTAGGACACCTCATTACTACTCTAAACGAGTGCTAGAAGCTAGTGTCAAAATATTGGTCCTTATGGGGAAGCGGCTTCGGCCGTGGGTATGGTTAAGATATCATATGAAGGGTACATAACACTTAAGACTGAATTACGATATTACGAAGCAAATTTGTGTACCTCCGACGTTGTCTCACATGCTGAGGGTCTGACACAACTAATGACTAGCTAACACAGTGCGAAGTATCATCATACACACACATCCTCCTTTACCCGTAAGACGAGGAGTCTGTGTGCTCCAGCACAGTATCTATTCTGGTTTCCCACCGTCTACCCACATATTCTGACTGGTATCCTCATATGATTTGCCCGGTATTACATGACTACTGAAAATTTTCACATCGTTCCGGAAGTTATATTGGTCAATGCCGTTCCGTTTCCCAACCATCTGGGACAAGCCACAGCTTGCCAGAAGCTAATCCGCTTCCTCCGTGGCGCAATTGGCTAGCTGCGTCTGACTGTTATCATCACGATGAGGCCATCAGGAGGTTGACAGTTCAAGCCTGTCCGGGGGAGTTCCTTTTTTTTCCCAATATCACGAAATCGCGATATTTTCGCGATATTTTTGGAGGTGCAGAGTCAGATTATGTAAGTTCCCCTTTTAGTGGGCCATTTTTTCCACAAATGGATTTGAGTTCGCCCTATATGCGGCTAGGAACTCTAATACGCTCCGACATGCCGACGACGCCAGAGAATGACATGAAGCTATTTACGTAGGTGTACTCAGTATATTGCTTGCTGGACTGGACCATCTATGGTCAGTTAGGGGAATGAAAGGTTTGTCCGCGGTCCTCAATTGGTTTCAGCCTACCTAAGTACCCAGTTTGGTGGGTAGTCGAGCGGATTCTACGCACAATTAATTCGCGCATAAGTATATACACACCTACGTACTGAGAAGGGTAAAATTGGCGAGCCTCCTTGATCTCTGTTAAACTCTCTAAGTCTATCACGGTCGGTAACTCTGAATAGCCTCTTACCGTTCATATAAAGGTGGGCTCAGAACTCTAGAAAAACTGGTCGCCATAGTACGCATTTTAATATAGGTATATGCTCACTATTTGCTTAAGGGCTGCTTTCTCTCTCATGCTATGCTTCCTCCAAACGTCATCTTAGCTAGTCCTAGTCCTGTTGGCAACAGATCACCCTCGAAGCTTTCATTTGACTTCTCTTCCCTGGAACTGAACATGTATCGTTGCGCCCAAGAGCTTCGCGATCAAGTAAAACTTTCACTTTAAACCCCTCCCAATTCGTTACCTCTTGATTGTAGATTCCAAGACATGCGTTAGCCGTCGAACAAAATCTGAACCATGATTTCTGATATAGATCCTGACATGGATTCGCTAGGAAGAAAAGTGACTCCATTGGACTGGGGAAAGTCAATTTTCATGCCGGGGATGTTTTTTTTTGTTTTTAAGAAAAAAAAGGCTATTTACCACGTCAGAGGTGCTGGTGGTACTTCACAAATGATGCGACTCCTTAAATCATTTATTCCAGGGTTTCTCCTTGGTATCATATGTAAGGACCTAGGATGAACCCGTCATCCCTATAACGACCACCAAATGCGCCATGGCATACGGGCCTCTTTCCAATCGTAGAGCCAACATATAAATCCGTCAGGTCAAATATGTGCAATGGTAATGCGTCGGTGCGGGCTTGGATTTTTGCCATACAACGGGGTTCGCGGGAGTCTTAGCACATGGCGTTTTATTTCCCCGGTTTCCCAGGATCCGGGGGCTTTAGGGGAAGAGCAGGTAGGAGCTGAATGCAAGATCTAAGACATGCAGATATTTGAGATGAAAGGAAGAAAACCGGTTCGAGCCGGCCCCTCGGGCAGGCCCCGCTTGACAACCTCGAACGCCGACAAATGCGAGTTGGGATTTATGCCATTACGGAATGGGACCCCACATTCTCCGCGGGCTAGACGTCGAAGCGTCTTACTTTAGAGAAGTATTTTACGTACGTGGAACATGAAAAAGCCCCAGGGTCACAGGCGGTCGGTCTTATCTGCTGGGTACTAGGTAATTTCTACCCACACCCTCATTTTGCTTTTTTTCATTCTCATCATCTTTCCCCCCTGTCAACATGAAGTGGTACAAATCGAATTAGCCGCATAATTTAGATACATACATGTAAGCATCTGCTAGTCGCACAGCAAGGAATTACTTAGTACAATACAGCAACATAACCTAAGGGTAGGTACCTACACTTTATGTACATATTATAATCTGGCCGATGGGCGGCGTCAGATACCCCCACTCAATCTACCCGCCAAAGTGGACAACTTTACCGGGTTACTGGAACCTCTACCTCCCTACCTTATCCTAACGACTGCAGGGTCTACTGTACGACGCTTGCATCTATGGATACGATTAGAAGTACCCACGTACCTATTCAAAGCCTGCATTAGCTATATACTATGTACCCTTGTCCGTCAAAGTCAGCTATGCGAAATATCTGTATCTAATCAAGTCTGTGTTTGTACAGTACCGGTATCAGTCTCCAGGTATTGGTCCTATCCTTACATACATATACGCATGCATCACCGAAGCCGCTGCGTAATCTATCTAAACATATCCCTGCCCTTTTGTCCCTACATCTACCAACCTACCCTACTGGCCAACCAGCCCACGACTCGCCCGCACCGTCATGCAGTATCAGGACCAAGCGTGGAAATCGAATCCGGGCTGTGCAGATAGTGGGATGGAACCGTGGCCAGACCGCAACGATGGTTCAAGTAAGGTTGCTGGTATGGCGAGCAGCGCACCCGGAGAGGCGGTGACGCCCATGGGAGGAGGACGAGAGATCCACTCCAACCAAGAAGACCAGTTGCTGCAGGAAACTACTCCTGCTGAGCCTAGCACCTCCACCCGTTCGCATGGCGCGGCTATAGGCGGAGGAGGACAAGAAGAACGACACGTTCCTTCGTCATCCCACTCTCCAACTGACAGCGCTAAGCCTAGCGCTGTTGCCGAGTCCTACGAGCAGCAGCACGTGCACAGCGTATACGAGTCCATCGCATCGCACTTTTCGTCGACACGGTACAAGCCCTGGCCCTTCGTCGCGTCCTTCCTGGAGTCCCTCCCCCCTGGCTCTGTTGGTCTCGATGTCGGATGCGGTAACGGCAAGTACCTTGATGTGAACCGTGACGTCGTCATCCTGGGCTCCGACCGGAGCGCCAACCTATGTCGGCTTGCTCGGAACCTCAAAGTAGCTGGCAACAGTGGCGCTGATGTGGCCGGAGTAGCAGACGGCCTGACACTTCCCTTTGGTGGTGGGGGTAAGCGTGTCGATTTCGCTATTTGTATCGCCGTCATCCACCACCTATCAACGCGGGAACGGCGTGTTGAGGGTGTTCGCGCTCTGCTTGACTGCGTTCGACCGCGTAGCGGCAAGGTCCTAGTGTATGTCTGGGCCCTCGAACAGGGGAGCAGCCGTCGCGGATGGGACGAAGGGACAGCGGACCAGGATCAATTAGTGCCGTGGGTCTTGAAACCAAACAAACCGAAAAAGCCGAAAAAAGAGGAAGCTAGCAAGAAGGGAGGGGGGATCAATGAGAATAGTACCGGGGACGCAAACACAAAAGTCGCAGGCACTACGTATCAACGGTATTACCATTTGTACAGGAAAGGAGAGTTAGAAGAAGATGCCCAGGCTGCTGGGGGTGAGATCCTAGGCAGTGGTTATGAAAAGGACAATTGGTGGGTGATAGTCAGTCCTAAAGAAGAGAATTCTTCACCGCCAGCCTACATAGCGCCTCGGTAGCGAGACTATACCAATAATAATGATGATCATACGCAAAGTCACACAATTAAACACCTTGAATTTTCTTCCAGGCAAACAACGCTGTACATAGCATAATATTCGGAAGTTTTTGAATTACTACAGTAGTTAGTATGTCGCCAGACAACTTATCATCTAACAACTCTACCTGTCTATCATGACATGCCCAGTACAGTACTACTTAATTCTTCATCCCATCCATGACGTAGCAAATAGTGCCTTTACAGCAAAAGTCCAATACACGAAATAAGAAACAAAACCAGCAGACAAGCGCGCTCCCATTCATAAATACCATAATTAAACCCCACGCGCCGCAAGACTCTTCCCTCCTGTTGTGCGCACTATAGCTCAAGCGCAATGTCCCCCCTTTCCCATAACCACCAAAGCCCAGGAATAGTAAGGGTACAACGTGCCCCTGGAAGGACGATAGGAAGACGACGGGAAGGAGCGACGGTGAACTAGAAATACCAAAAACAACCAATAAGGGAAAAGGGGTAATAAAAAACACTTTTCTGTTCGTCCTTGCGCCGCCCCATGATTCCGAGGAAGGGGTATGGGAGGAAACAACACGGCCAAGAATGGGAAATCCATTAAGAACCCGAGAAAAGGGGGGTGTATCTGGCTCGGCTGTCTGCCTGCCTTCGCCCCTATGACAACGCACCGCACACGAGTAGCTCCTCGCTCCTTTCCCAAACCACCCGCCCATATTGTTTCATTTCCCTGTCTCTTTTAAACCCTTTTCTCTCTGCCTTCTGTTGTCAATACATGAATTCCCATTGGTATGCCCGATTCTTAACTTAAAAAATGCTCGCTCCGGTCCCGATGCAACGCTGTTCCTTTTGCGACGTACATTCGTATGTGTGTGTTCTGGTGTACGCTCTACATTCCCAATAATATTAAAAATAAAAAAAAAATAAAAATAAAATCCAGAAAATTTCTCACTCGGGGTAACCTAAAGACGCAGGGGCCAGGGTCTATCCTGACATGATACACCAAGGAAACATACTTCGATCTTGTCCAACTAAATCTCATATTTTGGTTTGTTTCCGAGGCTCTGTTTAGGGACCACGGTCGTGCCGCGAGATGTTTGGTCTGTCGTAGTGCTCCGGTCGTGGGTCTAAGTGCCTTCGTCTATTCATCTCGGGGGACAGGCTGTTGTTGTCCGGGCTCCTACGTCGTTTCGAACCAGTCGGCTCCAGGAATGGGTACCCCATCCCGGCCATAAACAACCCAGGGCCAGCTGTTGTGCCGGGGGCGGGGCTGGTGCTCGGAGGGGGCAGGGCGTACGCAGGTGTGCTATAGGGGCTCACACCAGTGGTGAGCTCCGCGACTCCCGGTAACATCCCCGGTCGCGGTGGTTGGGTTTGTGTTTGAATAGGGGCAAGAGGCATACCATGGTGCGGGTATTCATAGTTCTCTGGGGGCTGTTCAGTATAGACAGGGACGTGATGGGGTACGCTTTCTCTCCGGGATGCAAGAGGTCTGCTAGAAGGCCCCGTTCTTCCGTGAGTGTAGCCCCTTCCGGGCGCCACGTCGCGAGCGAGACTACCTTGTGAATGTGAGTGACTGTGCCGTGGAGATGCCGTGGAACCACTGCTAGGCCCCTCTGACGTCGACGCTGAAAGGGCAAAAGGTGTCGTTCCTGCACGACGTGCAATGTCCTGTTCTCCGAGTTGCCAATGCATTGCCTCTGCCGCCCGCCACGGTATGGCCATTTCCTCTGCGATCTTGGCCCA